GAGCATGGTAGCTCTGTACGATAAGTACCAAACTGCAAACCACAAGGTTTTGGAAGTTCAAATCTACCAGCCACTTCATGAGAGAAAGATGAGGCTTTCTGCTTCTGTAAAGATGTAAAGTCTTGGAAACTCTACACCAACTGACTCGATGGTACTTAACAGCATTTTGTTTGCATTTTGAAACCCGTGTTTATAATAAGGTTGGTCTATAACTTACCTGCACAGCCTAATCTTGATATCAACATAATACTAACCTCACAAGCAAGTAGTTTTCTCATTCTGCTTCCTGAAATGTTTTGGTTGAGAAAGGGATTATTGTAATTATTATTGCTTCTGAAGGATTGGTAAAAATTTGCCTGCAAAACAAATTGAACCTGTGTCTTTTTGAGGGGAGACTGTATTTGCTGTATGTTTTATTATGAGCACTTTCAAACATTTACAAAGGTAGAGAACATAAACCTGTACATATCTATCACCTATGTGATGTCAAGTATCAAGATTTTGCCACATTTATTTCACCCAATGTTCATTTACTTATTTTGTATTTTAAAAGTAATGCCAGGTGTCATGTGTTTTTGTACTTTGAGTATCCATCTGTAAAGAGATAGGGACATTTGCTTACATAACCCAAAATGTCACTATTACATCTAACAAAATTAAACATGCTCCTTGGTTTTATCTATTATCCAGTTCTTAAATTTCCCATTTGACTGTCCCAAAATGCCTTTCATAGTTCTTTGGAGGGAGATTTGAGATTACTAATTTAATTTCTCTAACGGTTACAGGCATATTCAGGTCTTCTATTTCTTTTTTAGTCAATTTTGGTAATTTCTATTTTCTAGAAAATTATCTATTCCATTGAAATGTCTCCACTAGCGTTCCTGATCAGCTTTGCCAGAGTCTTGAGTCCTAATTGCTGCCTCTAACCCCACTCTAAGGGCTCATGACCCTGAATTGTAACCTGGAAATTCCTACTGGAAGTGTGCACTCTGTTCATGTTTTGTGTGGCATACTTCAAAGCAGGTTCATGTGCCTCCAGAAACAGGGGTAGCACTCCCAGTGCCCGGGCCCAGGCAGAATACAGGCTGTGTGAGAGGGGTTACCATTGGTCTCTGAGTTGGTGAGGATGAGGACTAGTCATGCTCTACGCTACTGGGAGGGCATAAAACAAATGAGAAGCGCATACCCCTTGCATCAATCTCCTGCCATGTCTTGTGCCTGCTGCCCGCTGTATAGACAACCCCTTGCAAAAAATCTCCAGATGGCTACACCATTCCAGGGTAGCTGACAGCTCCGTGTTTTTCTTCTCTCTCGCTGCTCCTGTTTAGCTTCCTCTTCTGGTTGGCATTTTGTCCACCTCTCTGCCCTATCCCTTCATGGGTGTAATGACCAAGGTAAGCCTGAACTTGTAACTCCTTCGATACCAATTTCCTACCTCTTCTGGAGATGAACAGGGAGGTGTTAGTCCTTTGGGTTAATTCTAGCTCTAGGTATGCCTAGTCCAGAACTTTCTTAACCATCACCACCGTACATTCAAATGATGTGAAATATAATTTAAATTCACATGATAAGATCAAAGAATCTTTGAGTAAGAAGACACCTGAGAGAGTATTTTTTTCTACTTATTATATGAGAAACCTTGGTGTAGCCGTTGTAGGATAAGCACTGGACTACTAACCACCAGCCACTCTGAGGGAGACAGGTTCTGCTTCCATAAAGATTTAAAGCCTCGAAAACCCTATACAGGGTCATTATGAGTCAGTATCAACTCACTGGCAGTGAGTTTGAGATGACTATACAGGTGAGGAAATTTAATTCCAGAGAGATCAAGCAATGTGGCCTAGGTAACACAACCAGTGGTAGAAACAGACAGGAGACTCTGAGTGTCAAGAAAATAATGAATTCCAGATTTAAAGCACTTAAAATACACCATAAAATAAGTTATCTGATCCCTTAGCTCTGAGGCCTATTCACAAAGCCAGCTGTCCTGAAGCACAGTGATTACAAACCTGGGTACTGTTTGCCTCCTTTCCTTTTACCAGTTTTCATATGAAAGGTAGCGTTGCCAACCCATTTAACAATGATTGGAGTGGCAAATGTTTTGATAAAAAACAAAATAATAAAAAATAATATAATAAATAATAAAATAATAAAAAAACAAAACCCAAGCTTATAAATGGTTAAGGAGTTGCTGGGTGGCTCAAATGGTGACATGCCAACTACTAAGCAATTGGTTGGCAGTTTGAACCATCCAGATTTGCCACAGAAGAAAGTCCTGACAATCTGCTTCTGAAAAGTCTCAGCCTTGAAAACCTGCCCGAGCATAGTTCTACCCTGCAATACCTGAGTCTCTATGAACTGGAATTGACTAGATGGCAACTGGAGGGAAAATGGTTAGCTGTGACATCATTTGTTGTTGTTAAGTGCTGTTGAGTTACTTCTGATTCATATCAACCCTGTGTAGGGTATGCTGGGCTTTTAAAATCTGTTGGAGCAGAAAGCCTCATCTTTCCCCTGTGGATCTCCTGACGAGCTTGAACTGCGGACCTTGTGGTTATCTTATGGAGTCACCGCTAAAATACAAAACAGGCCTCTAGTTTCTCAATTCAACCTAGGTTACAAGTTAAAATTGTGGAGACTCTTCCTTTGATGGAGTCCTGGTGTAGCGCTGTATGATAAGCACCAGACCACAAGGTCAGTTTGAACTGCAAGGTTGGCAGTTCAAACCCACTGGCCACTTCTCAGAAACCCTGCACAGGATCACTATGAGTCAGAACCAACTCAATGGCACTTAACAATGTTCCTCTGATACTGGCCTCTCAGAGTGGTAATACTGGAAAGTTATGCCAGGGAAGGCACTTCCGTGATGGTGTGGAAGTGGCAAAGGTCAGACTGTGCTTTACACAAGTGGCAAAGGTACAAGACACTTTAGAAACCAATTTCGAGATGCACTATAAAACTACAAATCAAAAATGTGGCACTAGCATACAGACAGACACATAGACAAATGGAACAAACAAGAGTCCAGAAATAAATCTACACATTTGGTTACAAAGCCAAGGCAATTTAGTGGTGTAAAGACAGTCTTTTCAACAGATCACATATAACTACTGGATTATCTATACCCAAACCAAACTAAACCCACTCCAGGGTCAATAGCGACCCATAGCTATCACATTAGGGGTTGTGGTGGTTGTTATGTGCCATGGAGTCAGTTCCCACCCATAGCGACCCTGTATAGGGTTTCCAAGGAGCAGCTGGTGAGCTTGAAACATGGACCTTGCAGTTCAAACGGCTTTGCAGTCTGGTGCATTAACCCACAGTGCCACACCAGGACTCCTCTGCGTAACATTAGGGGTGAGTTAATTAAATGAATGACCAAATATAACATTAATTATTAAGCTGATAATTTTGTATGACCCCTAAATGAAATGATACATTTTGGGGAGAAAAAGTTTTCCCACCCCTGTTACAGAAGGTGTTCTGAGGCTCATATTTCTCTCTGGGAGTGGCTAGTGGTTTGAACTTCTGTCCTTGTGGTTATCAAGGCAGTGCTTATCCTACTGCGTCACCAGGGATCCTGTATTATGTATATTGTTGTTAAGTGCTATCAAGTCTGTTCCACTCATAATGACTGGTTTCAGGCTGGAGTAAAAAGCCTCATCTTCCTCCTGCGAAGCGCCTATGGGTCTGACCGCAGACTTTGTGATTATCCTACAGAACCACCACACTCACACAATAATTTATTGTAATAGATCACAAACCTAAAGGTAAATAGTAGAACTCCAAAACTCTAGATGCAAACTGCAGAAAACTCTTCACAAGCCTGCAGCAGGCAAGATATTAGCGCAGAAAAGCACAAACCACAAAAGAGTCAGATTTCTGTCAAATTAATGGAAAGACAAGGTCCAGATTGGAAGAAAATATTCACAATCATACGCTATCTAACAAAGAACTTGTATCCAAAACACGTGAGAATTCTTACGGTAATAACTCAAAAGAACCCTATGGAAAAAATAAGCAAAGAACTCGAAGAGCCATTTCACAAGAGAAGACACAGAATGACCAGTAAGCATATAAACAAATTATTCCAGTGATGCAGGAGCGGAAGCGTGAACCAAGCGAGCGGACACCTCACTCTAAAGAAACACTGCCTTCAAAGTGAAGCCTAAGTGCCTGCATAGGGTTTCCGAGGCTTTTAAATCTTAGCGGAAGCTGAAAGCCTCATCTGTCTCCCGCGGAGCGGTTGGTGGACTCGCAATACAGCGCTTATCACATGGAGCAACTGAGCTCCTCACGGAGTGAAGCTATCAGTATAATATTAGGATCATTTTCATCCGGGATCGAGAGACTAATACATCTCCTTTAGCTTACTAAACCTCACCAACTACCCAGTACACGGAAACCTCGCGGTATCGAGAATTACTGGGACGCATACAGCCCCAGAGAGAACAAGATGCGGTAGAGAGCGCAGGCGCGACCAAGAATCCCAGTTAGGAGGTCTGTCTCCTTCAGTAGGGGAAGGGGACAAGGCAAAACAAGTGCGCAGGTACAGTAGCGCCCGGCCAGAGGCTCCTAGAGATCGCGAGACACGCCCACATGCGCACTCTCCTCTGCCACCTCCGGTTAACCCGCCTCTTGGAGACCGTGCTCTCGCGGTATTTGTCCCGACTCTCGCGGGATTTGGCGTGGCACTTGGAGGCTGTGTCTGGGGAGGGGGTGGCGGTCCGTTAGTGGCGTTGGACTTTGGTCGTGGTGGCAGCGGATTTACCTCTGCTCTCGGGGAGCCACTCAGGCTGGAGCCAGCCAGGTGAAGAGCTCGCCCCGCATGTGTGTGCGCGCTGCAGGGGGACCGGGAGGCCCGGGGTGGGAGGGAGCCCTGATCTCGGCCTCCTCTGTTGCGACGGGCTTGCGCGAGGCGACCTGGCGCGGCCACCGCCCCAGCCCCGCCTTGACCGCTTCTCTCCTCTCTCCCAGTTCTTGCTGCCGCCTCGGCCGCGATGGGAGCGCAGGACCGGCCGCAGTGCCACTTCGACATTGAGATCAACCGGGAGCCGGGTGAGCTAGAGACTGGGGAGCCTGGGCTTGCCTGAGCTAAGGGTGGGGTTTACCCTCAACAACCCTACCCCAAACCTTTTAGGAAACGTGTAGACGCTGTCAACTTGCTCCTTTCTCCAAACAGATCATTGGAGAAGATAGTACCACCTCTACCCTACTACCCTACCCTCAGTTGAGACCTCATCTCTCAAACTCCGCACCCCTTACATCTTCAGAGCGGTGCCAAAAAAAGGGGCCACAAGCCTTTTGGGAGTCCCCCACCTCCACCCCTAATCAGGATTCCTAGGACGCAAACACTCTAGATTCTGATTTCTTTTATCCTACTCTGTGTACTTTGAAATTTGGACTCATAAAATTTATGCTCCCTAGTCCTTTGATAACATTAATATGATAATACCGCCTCAATTTCCCCTTAGGCATCTTTAGCCAGAATTTCTTAGTTCATCGGAAAATGTCTAATGAAACGACGATACTTAAACAGACATCTGAAGGAAATGAAGTGAGCCTTGTGGATCTTTGAGAAGAACTTTCCTGGCAATAATTGTGACTGAGCAAGTCCATGAACAAGAAACATAAATCGCTGGTAGTCAGTCCTGTGTAATCCCTGTGATTGATTGTGAATTGAACATTTGTGATTTTTTTTTCTTTTTGCTTTTGTTGGCTGATTGCTGAAAGTTGGTTGCCAGGCCTTTTTTCCTAGTTTGTCTTGGTCTGAATTTCCGCTGAAACCTACTCAGCTTTCTAGGGACACTCACGCTTCTGTTGACAGAAAGGTGCTAGCTTCTCATGAGGTTGGAAGACAAGAAATCTACTGACAGACCAATGCCCTCATTCCTGTTGCTAACCAGTTGCTCTCAAGTTGATTCTGACTCATGTTGACTCCATCCATGTGTTTCAGAGTACAACTAATTTTTTTCTTTTCTAAAGGGTTTTTCAATGGCTCTAATCTTTCAGAATTAGCACACCAGGCAGGATTAGCTCATCAGGCTTAATCTTTTTGGACCCAGTGTTTCCTATTCCTGGTAGAGAGAACAGTTAGTACAAAGAATCTGAGGAGGGAGTATGGTTGTCCTGTTTGAGGAAGGCCAGAATGGCTGGAGTGGAGGTGGGAAGTGGCTTGAGGCCATAGTAAGTACTTGGACTCAGTGAGATAGGAAAGCATTGAGTTTGAGCAACGAAATGATGTTGCATGCCGTCGAGTTGGAACTCATAGCGACCCTGTGCACAACAGAACAAAACACTGCCGGGTCCTGGACCAGTCTCACAATTGTTGCCATACTTGAGCCCGTTGATGCTGCCACATTTCCATTCCGTCTCGCTGGGGGTCCTCCTCTTTTTCTCTCACCCTCTGCCCTACCAAACATCCTTCTCCAGCAACTGGTCCCTCCTGACAATATGTCCGAAGTATGAGAGATGAAATTTGGCCATCCTGGTCTCCAAGGAGCACTCTGGCTGGACTTCTTCCAACACAGATCTGTTGGTTCTTTTGGAAGCCATGGTACTTTCAAATATTCTCCTCCAACACCATAACTCAAAAGCATCAGTTCTTCTACAGTCTTCCTTATTCACTGTCCAGATTCCGCATGCATATGAGGTTACTGAAAATACCGTGGCATGGGTCAGGCACACCTTAGTCCTCAATCTGACATCTTTGCTCTTCAACACTTTAAAAAGTGTGCAGCAGATTTGCCTAATGCAATACGTTGTTTGAT